TGTGATAGTCTTTTCAAAAGAAACTTGATTTGCTAAACCCGATATCAAAATTATTTCTTTGAGACCAAACTGCACATATTGGCCATTGTCTACAACGTAAACATTTATTCTAAACATCCATCCCAGATATGCCGGTGGTACCTGGTTTTCTAATCTAAATGGCATCGACTCCTGGAGAGCTGTAACTAACGTTGAACTAAGGGAAAGATCTGACAACATGAAAATTAACTCATCACCACAGACCAACACCTTTCCGGTCCTGAGGTAAGATTCCTTTAGGCACCATGTTGACAATGATGAAATTATTTCGTTGACGCTCCTTTTTTTCATTAAACGTGGATCTTTGATGATGAAAACTTGTCGACTCATGGGTGCGAATTTCTGTCGACAAGAGTACACTAAATAAAAATGTTAGTGGGTGGTCAGTCAGGCTTTTAAAATCATCATTTTACTGTAATCTGCTAAGCAGTATCAGCCATGCTGCTGCATCCTGTTTGGCGGCAGCAGTGCACATTCCGCATGACCACAGATGGACCATGGCAGCAGCTGCAGGGGTGAAAATAAGCTGGAATGATCTGGTACTGCACACTTAACTCTGACAAACTCTGCTGTTCCAGCTGTGATTGTGCAGAAATGAGGTGTAGCTTAGAGTCTGTGCTTTATGCTCCACGATGATGGTTTGCTCTGAGCAGTATGGCTCCTCCGGCCCTTGCTACCTAATAAACTAAATGTGGCTGATCATCCTCTGCAAAGCACAACAAATCCTTTTGTCTAAGTAGCAATATTTTATTTCTTTCACCCCACGAGAGGTAATGCCAAACCTTCTTGCATTTCTACCAAAAAGGAATCCCTAAATTATATCCAAAGCAAATGTTTAATTCTATACTGTTTATTTTTGGATAAAGAGTCAGATGAAAAGGTACATAGATCTTGGAATATTTCTCTCTCATAGTTCTCGTTTCTCTCTATTTAATTAGGATGTAAATGTTTCCTTGTATTGCCATTAAAACATTTTCTCTGCTTCCTTTAAATATTTCAAAATTTTAGTAAACATATTGAATTTTAGGTCTGGATTGCCATGGCATTACAAGGCAATTATGTAGGTCATCTCTGTATTATTATTATTATATTTATTTTATTTTTTCTTACATATATAAACATTTTAAAATCTACCACTGAATAGCAGTAATCAAGAGGAAAATTGAAAAGATAAAGCCAAAATTGCCAAAGTAGAAGAAAGTTTCTGTTCTTTGTTTTTTTTTTTTNTATGTTTGTCTTTTAAACTTTGATTTAACCTCTTGCATTTCTATAGGTAATCCTTCATTTTAAGTTTAACTTTCAAACCTGCACAGTTAGTTCATTTTCTTGCACTGGCAACTGTGGTGCTGAAAGCATAATTATAGCAAATTCCAAGATTGAGTCCAGTGCTCCCTGGTGCCAGACTGAAAGAATCACAACTCGGCTGCTTCCCAACAACTCTCCTTTTCAGCTCTCGTGAGTCCACTTTTAAAGATAAACAAGATTTGGATTTTTCATTTGGATTGTTTGTAATAGGGTTTTAAAAAGAAACTTGATTTGCTAAACCGAATATCAAAATGATTGCTTTGAGACCACACTTGCCTTATTGGCAATTGTCTACAAAGTCAAAACTTATTCTGAATATCCATCCCAGATATGCAGGTGCTGGCTGGTTTTTTAATCTAAATGACATCGGATCCTGGAGAGCTGTAACTAGCGTTGAACTAAGGGAAAGATCTGACACCATGAAAATTAACTCATCACCACAGACCAACATATTTGCGGTCCTGAGGTAAGATTCATTTAGGCACCATGTTGACAATCAGTGTTGTTTTCATCAACTATGACGATGATTAAAATATTTCGTTGACGCTCCTTTTTTTCATTACAATATCGAAAACTGACAAACTAAACGTGGATCTTTGATGGCGAAAACTTGACAACTCATGGGTGTGAATTTTTTTCGACAAGAGTACACTAAATAAAAATGTTAGTGGGTGGTCGATCAGGCTTTTAAAATCATCATTTTACTGTAATCTGCTAAGCAGTATCAGCCATGCTGCTGCATCCTGTTTGGTAAAGCCGCCCACCTGGCGTGCAGCAGTGCACATTCCGTATGACCACAGATGGACCGTGGCAGCAGCCGCAGGGGTGAAAATAAGCTGGAGTGATCTGGTACTGCACACTTAACTCTGACAAACTCTGCTGTTCCTGCTGTGATTGTGCAAAAAATGAGTCGTAGCTTAGAGTCTGTGCTTTATGCTCCACAATGATGGTTTGCTCTCAGCAGTTTGGCTCTTCCGGCCCTTGCTACCTAATAAACTATATGTGGCTGATCATCCTCTGTAAAGCACAACAAATCCTTTTGTCTAACTAGCAATATTTTATTTCTTTCACCCCACGAAAGGGGATGCCAAACCTTCTTTCATTTCTACCAAAAAGGAATCTGTAAATTATATCCAAAGCAAATATTTAATTGTATACTGTTTATTTTTGGATAAAGAGCCAGTAGAAGAAAGTTTGTGTTCTTTGCTTTTTTTTGGAGCAATGAAGATTTTATTGATCTGTGTGTAATGCATAATTCACAGTAGATCAGGAAGTGTTTGCTTTGAGATGGAAACCTTGTATTCCTTTATTGTACATGTTGTTAGGTTGTCTGTCTGCTATATTGACCAATATAATGTGTTGAACTAGATCTGCTATTTTCCCAACTTTTGTGAGACACTTTTTATAAAGTAGGCCATGAATTCATAAATTTTATTTGAATTCTATAAAAAAAAGTTATTTTGCCAAACGGCAATGATTAAATGCATGGCAGCATTCTATACCCAGCAATTGTAGTATCTAGGCAAGAGCTGTCAGTCTGGTAAAAAATCTGGTTGTTTTTCGAAAATGTAAAGGTCAGCTGTTTTATGAAGTGCAACAAAACTGACTAAAAATACACCAAAAACTTTTTAGAATTTTAGTCAACTAAAACTGACTTAAACGATCACATACTGTAATGACTATAATTTGACTAAAACTAATAATAGTTTTCATCCTGAAGACTAAAACTAAGACTAAATCTAAGATGGCTGCCAAAAAGAGCACTGTCGGCAACCATGTCAGAAAAAAGCTATATAATTAACAAAAACAATCAGATATACACAAGCTTAAAAAACTATAAAAAAAAAAAAGAAAAAGTTTTCATAGTGTACAGGAAAACAAGATCCACATCCCAGTAACTAAACACCAAGTCACAATAAAAAATGGCAATACATTTAAATAACAAAACTGAAGTGGTAAAGATACCCTTAGGTGGTTGTTAAAGACAAAAATACAACCCCGTTCCAGAGATATAGAAAAGCTGGACAAATAACAGCAATGATGGAAGAAACACTTATGAGCAAATAAAAACTGTGTAACACTGTGTAAGATGAGTTTATCTATAAACATATTTCACTGGCAAGACAATTCAGTGCTGAATATAAACAAAACATAAGAGAAAAATAAGCAAAAGTAAATAGCAGTGACAAAACAGAGATGGGTAAAGAGAAGCTGCTGAGCAAACTTAAACTTATGTTCCATTCAACATTTTAAATAGAACAAAGTCATCTCTAAACTTAATTTGATTTAAAGCAACATTTGTGGAAATTTCTGTAACCATTGCTCAGGCAAATGGCTTAATATTCGGCTCTCTCAGTATATAAGTTGTAAATAAAAGCTCTTTTGAATCAAGACGAGGAATAAATTAGGTCAACTAAATTAGATCATTCCTGCCAACAACTATCAACACCTATAAAAACTTGCTGAAAAAATGCCTGCTTATGAGATCAATTAAACATTTCTGAATTGGATTAAATTGAAACCCAGGGCCATCTTTGCTCACATAAACATTAATAAAGCATTAGAATTTTATCATTAATGATTATAGTAGGAAGTGGGATAAAATGCCTGTATGAAGACTCATTTTGATGAAGAAACAGAAAAGGTATACATTTAACCATTAGATCACTTAAGGCCTAAAGAAAACAACATTGGTAATACACAAAAAAATGAATATGACTATGTTCTATTGTAATGGATTTTATATGTTTGTTGCTTTTTAGGGTTCCTTCAAATTGTCATATAAATATTAACCTGTTGGCCTTTGACCCTGATGGAGACGTTGTCCGATGTAGATATGCTGACCTTTCCCTGACTGAATGTGCCTCACCCTGCACACCTCCACCTGTTCTCGCCCTCTCCTCTGTAAGTAACTATTCCAAATCTTATCCCTGAAAAATCCATAGTTTATATGGGGACACAAGCTGGTCGAGCAAGTCATTCTGTACAGGCTCAATCAAAGAATCAGCATTTTCTGAACCATATTAAATACTTTAACAATTGTCACAACCTTTTTGTTCAATGTTTCATCAATGTATATACCAATCTCATGGCTCTGAGGCATAATAATAATGAAATGTCATATGGCCTGAGCTTATAAAGCTCCTTATATAGTTTTTGGACCCTAAAGTACTTTACACTATAAATTCAGTTATTCACCTGTTTACACATACATCCACACGCTGATGGTGGGAAGCTACATCATAGCCGCAGCCATCATTGGGGAGATTGATAGAAGCAAAAATGTGGTAAAATCAGCACAATCTGGCCCTCTGAGCGCTAACAGAAGGCGGGGCAGGAAAAGTGTTTTGCTCAATGACACAATGATGGACAAAAATGGAGCAGGGACTTAAATTGGTAACCAACCAAATACAGGACCAACCCTTAGCCCCTGAGGCACTGTCAACCCCTGATACCTAGCATTTCATTAAGAAAATCAATGCCAGGATTTTCTGCTTTTACTGATAGAGTAATTTGTTGGGCAGAAAATATTTAGAATAATTAGATTTTTTGGAATGTAGTCTATATTGCAATTTCCAATAATATGACACTACATATTTACAATGTCTTATGTAGTATTGAGGGGTAACTTTTTTGTATTTTTATTCCAGACTTGTGCCCTGTCATTCAGTGCAACTTCAGCCAGTAATGAAGGTTGGTATGCAGTCCAAATGGTGATGGAAGACTTCCCCAGACAGTCAATCACCCTGACTCATAATAATGGATCCCACATTGTGAAATCTACCAGTGAAGCAATCAGCCAGATACCCATTCAATTTGGCTTTCTAGGTACAATCTGATCACATGGTTGCCATTTGTATAACCATGAAATGCTACTGTCATATTTTAGTGTTTCATTCAATATTTACAATTATGAGCATAATATTTATGTCATGCACTATATTTCTGTATGTCATACACTCTATTTAAAAAATCGATTACTCTTCTAAATAAGTTTATGTTTTCCAGTTGATCCTGCAGTACCATCCTGCACAAAAGGAGATTATCTGCCAGGATTTCTGTCTCCAACTCCGGACCATGGGGCACAGTTCTCCACTCACGTTGATAAGGCTCTGGAGATCAACATCAGAGCATCTGCGACACACTCTGTGTAAGTAAATGCAAAATGCATGAAAATAGAGTCCATCCAAGCAAAATAAAAGATTGTTCCCCCAGGAGGCATTTGTTTAGAGATGTTTTTTTTTTTTTTGCAGACATTTGACCTAGACTTGTAGTAGACTACCTGTTGTGTCTAGGTAAGAAAAAATGTAAATTACTCCAGGGAGTACATTGCAGTGATAAAACAGAAAGCAAGTAAAGAAGATTTGAACCAGAGACTGTAATCAATGTTTTTTTTAGTTAATGGCTTTAAGGGGGAATTTACAGCAAAGCTGACAAAATCACTCTCACTAGTCACCCAGGACTAAATCAAACAATTGTACCTCTAAATCAATCTCTACGTGAAGTTTTCTCTCTCTAACAACTTTTATGAAGTAGTGCTGTGCAAAGTGTAGCTTGTGTTTGTTTCATGGTTCCTGGACCAACTATGTTAGAGTATTTTATATGGGCAAAAAAGATCAGCAGGCTACAAACATGGAAGCCAGCAATAGAAGCAGATTAGAACTCAATAACACCTACGAGGCAACACATCCTTTGAAAGTATTGCACAACAACTTACTGTGAGTGAGTCATATTCAGTCTTCTTAGAGTAAGCTGTGCTACATCCTCATATCTTTTGACTTGGCAATCTCCACAGCATGCTTTACAGCAGTGGTTCCCAAACTTTTTTGGCTCAAGGTACCCCTACACATTTTTCCACCCAGCGGTGGTACCCCTAAACTGATAATGATTATTTGACATTAATTGATAATAATTATTTTTCTGTCATTTTTTCAAAGTACCGTAGTAAAGAAAACATAAAATGAAGCCCCTCATCTTAGAATATATTTGCTTACATCAAAATAAATTTACAAAATTGTTAAAATGTAAAAATGTACATTCATTAAAAAACTCATCAATCTATGAAAAAATCCTGCGGCACCCCTGTAATGACCTCGCAGTACCCCTAGGTGCCGCGGCACCCACTTTGAAAACCCCTGCTTTACAGTATTGGGACATGTACAAAAATTGGAACATTACAGAGAACAATGGCATAGCACCTCTGACTTGCACACAGTAAGCCCTGGTTTGAATCCCCGCTTGCTGAGGATGAGCTGCCAGTGTGGGACGTTAGGCAATGTGCTTCATGCTAAATGTCTATCTCATTGTAACATTGTGTTTACTTTGTAATTCACTTTGAATAAAAGCATCTGCTCAAAACCTAAACAACACTCTGAAGGGTAAAATGAGCAGATCGGGATGGTAGGGGGGATAATATGTAAATATTCTGCCAAAACGTTGCAGACAAAAAGGCATGTTGCACACACACATAAAGCATGTTGCACACAAACCAATCTTATTACTCACAAATAAGCATGTTGCGCTCAAACAAATCTTATTGTTCGCAAATAAAACTTGTGTTACAAACTCTCCTCAAATGTCAAACACAAATAAAACTTGTTTTTCAAACTATTCTTAAATGTTTAATAATCAAAAAAATTTGTTTTACAAGCCGGACTCTAACGTCGCACTCAAAATATAATTTATAAATTGTCCCCAATTACAAAATGATCTCTGTTCGCATGCAAAACAGCCTCTCCACTTGTTCGAGACAATTCTACACACTCTGAGACAAGTTTCTGCTAAAAGTCACTGGATAAATAAAGCCTTGTCATTCTGACTAGCTGACAGCACGAGGCGACATCCAATCAAAACAACTGAAACGTGCTGGTGTCAAGGTAGTTATCCCTACGACAATTTGTATCTCGTCACTGGGAGCACGCACGGAGTAGAATATGTGTGCAACATTTAAGGATAGTTTGAACAACAAGTTTTATTTGTGTGTGACATTTGAGGAGAGTTTGTAATACAAGTTTTATTTGTGTGTGACATTTGAGGAGAGTTTGTAATACAAGTTTTATTTGTGTGTGACATTTGAGGAGAGTTTGTAATACAAGTTTTATTTGTGTGTGACATTTGAGGAGAGTTTTTAATACAAGTTTTATTTGTGTGTGACATTTTAGGAGAGTTTGTAATACAAGTTTTATTTGCGAACAATAAGATTTATTTGAGTGCAACATGCTTATTTGTGAGTGATAAGATTTCTTTGTGTGAAAAATGCGCAACATGCTTTATGCGTGTGCAACATGCTTTAAGTGTGTGCAACGTTTCTTATGTGTGTGCAACATGCTTTACGTGTGCGCAGCATGATTTATGTGTGTGTGCAACGTGCATCTTTGTATGCAACGTTTTGGCAGAAAATTCACTCCATAGATCAGTTTTATTTAAGCTTTTGCACATTAAAAACGCTACGTATCCATATACCCAATGGCTCCTTAAAATGGGACGACCTAAGGGGTGGTTCTCAAAAAAATTGCATATTCATTGCCCTTAGGTGCATATTCAAATATTTTTTTCCCACCTTGTCTGTGTGTATATATATTTACATGGAGTTTGACAAAGGTTCCAATTCAGAAATAACATATAAAAAGTAAATAGTTGGAATCACATAACAATTCTTAATATTTTCCGTTTCATAAAGGATCTCTGAGCTCCTGTACAGCGGGCCATCCAGTGTGGTCAAGACTTCTTTTGGATCAGGAGAATTCTCTCTGACATGGACACCGTCTGCAGCTTATGAAGAACAGAGCCACCCCATCTGTTTTGCCATCCAGGCAAGGTCAGTATTACCATCCCAATGAATTAGTTAATATAGTAAATTAAACATTCTCATAAAGGGCCATCTTTAATGTGTTTATGTTTACATCATTTAATTTTTTTTTTTTTGCCCTGTGATTGAGCTTACAAAGAGGGAGAAATCTTTGTTTTGCACAATTTTTGAAGATTCACCTGGACTAAAATGCACTTCAATTCAGTTTTATTTAAATAGCGCCAATCCATGACACATCTCAACTTTTCCCCAGGCAATTCACAGACACAATTCAATCAAATTATACAGAGAGACTAGTTAAAGTTTTTCCATCCAAGCCCAAAGTAATGATATACTATTCCCATCCATGATATAAAGAGTAAAAGAGATCTCTGCCATTTTTAAAGTCAAAAAGATGAAAGAGATCATGTACAGCTGGTCACAGTTAACCCTTTAAACCCTGGCCCATGAAATAACTCAGGATTATTTTTTTTTTAATTAGTTTTCAATGTCATGTCTGAAAAATGAAATAAAAAAACATACTTTTTGTAAAAGTTTTTGTGCACAATAATTGAAGTATTAAACATATTAAACCCATGTTCTTTGTCTATGTTCTAAAATTGGCATTATCTTTTGTAAAAAAAAATAAAAATAAAAACTCAAGTTAGTCAGTTTAAGTCCCCTTAGGTTCCTCAAAGTAGATCAAAATAACTCCTTATTTACCTACAGCAGTTTAAATAGGCTATGCTGGCAAGCACTTACTGGGCCAACACCTAAGCTAAGACCACCAGGAACTGTTCCGCCTCTCCCAAAGGCCATTCTATGTCTCCTTGAATTGCAGCTAGACTGCCTTCAAAAAGGAAAATAAGACTGAATAACTAGTAATGATAACCACAGTGCTGCACTTCTGTTAACCCTGTATATGAGTTTAAGACTACCATTTGCAAGTAATATCCTGTCCAATACAACTCAAAGTTTACTAGAGAGCATTTTTGAAAAGATCCTAAGCTGACGAATGATATAAATCTGCATAATAAAAGCTGATTTATAATAAGAATCTTCAAAGCCATAATAAAGGTATTTTTCAAATCTGCCTCTACAGTTCCAGCAGTTCTGTGTATCAGTCTGAGCTTCGATGTGTTGTTGTGACAGTTAAAAAAAGTAAGTCTAATGTTTGACCATTGTTGCTCTTCCTTAAATAAAATGTCTTAACTGAATGTGTTTCCACTCTTTTCTGCTCTTGTATTTCCAGAACCAAAACCAATCTTTCTTAATGCTCTGAGAATGAAGATTTCCACTACGCTGTCACTGAAGGATGATCGTGGCATCATTGAAAACCTGGTCTGTAACCAATGCTGTAATTATGTGGTATAGTACACAGAGGCGTAGTCAGAAGATTTTAATAAGGGTTGCCAGGCAATAACCAACGTACACTAAGGGGTGGACGAAATCGGCTCTGCACCAGAACCTCAGGATCAATCTACACTGTTCCAACAAAAAAATAACGAGCAAAACATCCATATTTTCTAAATAAAGACAAACTATACTTTCCTACAGCCTTTGCTAACAGATATCAGCATATATTTAAACGTCTGTGCTTTATAAATAAAAGGTTTAATGGATAAAATCCTTTCAGTTTTGAGATCTGGACCATAAATCTTTTTCATCTTCATTACTTACCTACTTGTATCAATTGAATAAAATTGATATTTATATGTACTTATATCTACATAAATTGATTATTTGTTTTTCTTAAAATCCTTATTTATCTATAATTTCACTGAAGACTCCCAGATGACTTGCAGAGACACATTTTCTCTTTACCCCATATAACACAAAATCTAGTTCTGAAAAGAGCATGAATTCTGTATTTATCATCTTTGATGTTAGTATATTTATGTGTATAATTAACCACAAAAAAATTTTATGTTTTGAATATTCCACTTAAGAGTATTATCGTTGCCACCATCTGTATTAGAGGGGAGAAAATGGTAGGGGTGGCCAATGATTGGCTGAGGGCCATGGCCACCCATGACCCCCCATCTAGCTCCGCCCCTGAGAGTACAGATGATCTTTACCACTTGTACAGTGGAAATGACCAGTGCATTATGTTCAGGTGCTTTTGTTGTGGAAGAGAAACATGTTTGATCACAAGATTATCCTGACCTGCTACTTGGGCAAGACAGTTAGACTTCCTGGGTAATCTGCTACAGGAAGCACATGATGCATTAAATGCATCGACTGACTGCTCTCGAGCATCAAAGAAAAACGGCCATTTTAAAAACGACACAAGTTTAAATGGTGGTAAATTTTTAAAAATATACATGCCCTAAAATTGTGTAGGCTACAAATACAACAGGAGAGAGCACCTAACGATGCATTATTCACCATACAGAATCATTTTTATGCTCCCCGCGATGTTGAACGGTCATAGTTAAGCTCATCTGGCCAACTCAGGTATCAAAGAATTTTTCCAGCTTTCCAGTGGAAATTACGACATGAGTGGATTTTAATGTGAAATTTTCATGTTGGCTTTTGGTTAGGCCATAATTGTGATACCACCATATTTTGAAATTAACGAAACCAAAACAGTTTAACTTCTTTACTGCTGTTGAATCCTACATTTTGAAATATAGTTTTACTTTTGGTTTTTGATCCAATAACTGATTTAAATCTGTTTAAATCCCAGCTAAATATTGTTTTTTTTTCCTTCTCCAGGTTAAAGAAGAACTATTGAGAAAAGGTTTTCCGCCAGGCATATCTGTACGCTTGATGAACAACAGCTCTATGATAGTAAAATGATAGCAGCCTTCTCCTGGCCACCCATTAAAATTTATTCAAGATCATATTTTCTCGAAATCATTACATGGAGAAGGGGCGCATTGTAACTAGTGATTTCATTACCTGATTTTGACAAAAATCATAAATTTCAGTAGGCCTGACATGATACATGTATGATTTGAACAACAGTACAATCAGAAAATCAGTACATTCATGAATAGGATAAATCTTTATAATCTGCTTATTGATAAACTTTCAATTGTTCTTTTAGTTTTAAGTAACTGCTTAATTTGATCAGATTCTAGAGCTCTCTGTAAATAAAAAAAAACGTTCTGTCTTTTAATTGACTTTGTATCTGCTGTGTTTTTTCCACAACAATAGTTGAGGAAGCGGAGAAATTGTTCCCTCAGTAAAGAGAGGTTCCAAACAAAACTTTTGGGTTCCCCCATTTCTGACATAAGATCTCATCAATATATGAACTGTAACAAATAAAGATAAAAAAAATATTATAAAAAAATAAGAAATAATAAAGTGTTCCTTGGCTTGAGGCGGACCTCTGGTAAAGAAATTCCATAAAATCTGTTTATAAGTTTTCAATTGAACCTGTTAACAAACAACATTCCCTTGTCTTGTGTTTTTGGCTTCAATAAAATACCTCTGGACTTTTTGAGTGCGACGCTGAGGTCATCAATAGTCACTGCTTGTTCTGCCATATATATCACAATGTTAGAGAATCTTTAAAAAAAAAAAATCTACATCCATATTAGGGTCTGGATAATCACCAAAATGTCACCCCTGATAGAAATTTCAATAAAATCCATCCATAACTTTTGAAGTAATCCTGCACATAGGCAGTCAAACACTTCGTACAAACATAACCTTGGCAGAGGTTATAATGAAATTGACAAATTTCAAACCATAATCCCAGGAGCATAACCTAACCATAATTTCAAAAATGAGGGGACAGATTTTTCAGTGACACTTTCAATTTCATCTTTCCTGTGAAATATCTGTTAAAGCCTTTTCCTAAAACCTACCTGGTTTCTCCCTGCAATAGATATTCTCATGAAATTATAATCTTTCCTCAATATAAAGACCCAACATCATTCTTCCTGCTAATGGCCTCTGGTCCATCTGCTTCCTCACCCTAATCTTTCTGTTATGGCAATGAACATGAAAAAGAATGTGATATTTAAAAAAAAAATAGCATTAGGAAGAATAAAAATTGCAGTGGAATTTATCCTAAACCTAACTATTAACCCATGGTTATGCTTTATTTTTGTTTTTCTCAGCTACTTTTATTCTTTATTCACCTGTGCAGAACCTGCGTTGTGGACGCCTTTGCTCGCCTTTGGTCCATCTCATCCCTGACTCTGCTCTTTCTATTACAGCAATAAACATTTTAACATGTTTTAAAACATTTTAAAATAGAATTAGGAAGACAAGAAGTAAAACATACAATTGCATTGCTTAAAAAAACAATAGACTACATGATTGGCCAGCAACACAGCACTTGCTCAGTGTTGTGTATTGTCTTAAGTGGGGAGTGTTGGCCTACTGGTTAAAGCAGTGCGCTTGTGCTCTGAGAAGGCTGCAAATACCCTGTTTGATCCCCACAGCCTCCATTCTGGTTCCCTGAGCAAGTTCCTTAACCCAACACTTTTCCCTGGGTGCCACACAATGGCAGCTCACTACTCTCCAAGGGGTTGGGTTAAATACAGAGGTAAAATTTCTCCAGTGTGAGATCAAAATAGTTCAGTTAATATTATTAATGGCAGGAATGGACAGTTTAATCCACGATCACAAAAGTCACCTTACTTTGATTTTAGAGTAGTGACAATTTCATGCACTGTATGTAATAACATAAAAAATATAATGGAAAATGGATAGAAGCAATAAAAATTACATTTTTTTTTTTTTTTTAGAAAAGCAACCATATAGTAATTTATGCAAACACTTGGACAGAATTTCACATTCTGGCAGCCCATTTTTCAAGCAACTATTTTCTGTACTCAGGCAGCAGGACCTTGGACCTACTACATAAAAATTTCATTTCATAATAAAAGTCAGAAACTTTAATGCTTGTAAGTTGTATATTGACACTTTACATTCAAACACTGAAATTTGCGTGTCATGGACCTCATCCTCACCTGCATTTCAAGCCTGTCAGGCTCGTCCCAACATACACATGCAGGTCAGTACAAATAACCAGCACCCACCACATATCTAAATAATATGCAAATGTATTTCAGATTTCATATATACATATTCAGTCAATCTGATATATGTGAAAAGTGTTTAATATATAAATAAAACTTAATTCTTACTGTACCAATTTGCAGTGTTGGGCAAGCTACTTGTCCAGTTTAGTGAGCTTACAGTAGCTATCAGTTACTCAACAATAAATTAAGCTTCACTACACCAAAGCTACCACCTAAAGAATTATAGCAAGCTAAGTTACACTAATGTGTTAAAAGTAGCTTAACTACATCAGAAGCTAATTAACGTTGTACCCACCTAATATCAATTCAAAATGAGTCTGATACACTGGTTAAAACATGTATTAAAGATCAGCCAATGACATAACACAGTCTAAAAATTGCTTTATGATCAGCATAATAAAAAAACTAAAGTAATCACTAGTAGACAAAAAAAATAATCAATCTGCTGTTATTAAAACCAAATTAAAGGTACTGTGTAGTGTTCTACACATGGAGACATGACTATGAGTTTGCATTCAATGGACATCTCCAGGGAAAACAAAACCCAACAAAAGGCATCTTATTTCTTTAGGGTCTCCCTTAGAGAAAACTTCTTCAGACCTCAATTAAACAGTCGATTCAAGTAATAAATGAAACTGTTTACAAAAAAGGTGAATAAATAAAAAAGCTAATTAAGAGATATATATACATTTATGTCTCACTGTATAATTTAATTTCTACCTACATATTTATTCATTGTATTTTGGGGGGTAATTAATTGAATGCTTATTTATTTTTTGAGCATGTATTTATTTATGTATTAATTTTTATACATGGTAGAGCTGTTCTTCCATACCTAAAAAATCTTATCTGTCTGTACGCAGCCTGCGAAATGAGACGCAGCCTGTGTGTCATTCTTTGAGTTCCACTGCAGTGCGCATGCGCATGTTTCATAGATGCAGACAGGAGAGGCAGAATAGAGGCTCATGCATGAATGTCCAACGAATAACTCCGATTGTTGTTTCAAAAATAAAAAAAACCTGGTTTTATTACTTAGTTATGCCCTGGATTTTGTAGCGTTTGTGGATGCTACATCTCTACTTGATCAAAACAATAACGTCACTACTGGAAAGTTACTTGATAAATAAAGCAGCGACGCTACGGTCAAGCTACTAGAACATGTAGTTAAACTAATAGCTTCGCTACATGTAGCGGCGCCACTGCCCATCACTGCCAATTTGTTTGTTGACATTTTGAAATGAATTTCAAAATGTCAAATGTAATTTAAGAAATGTATTTATGATAACAGTTCCAACTAGGGAAGTGATTTTGACCAGGAAGAATCCTATTTAAGTTTTCAACAAATGAAAAAGCATATTTACAAAACTACCTTCTATAACACACCACATAAAACTTACTTTCACACTGTCTCTACCCTAATGAGATCGGTCTGGAACAGAAGTCTGAAGTACAAAGGTCTCAGTCTGAATGACATCCTCATTAAAGCTCGCAAACCCGATTAGAGCTGGCCTGCTGGGGTGGGCCATCGGGCTGGAAGATCAAGACCACTTACACTGATTCATATGGCGCAAATCTGATGGCACAGAAAAGAAGGTTATGTCCCAACAATAATTCAGCATTGGAGACAAACTTGCTGGTTGCAAAGCCCAAGTCTCAATGCAAGAGAGGGCAAACCTACCTTCATTCAGGCAATTTAAAGAAGAAAGCAATGTGCTGTAGGAAGACTCTTATATTAATGACACCATGACTTCACAAAACGACATCCTGAAAGGAAAGTTGAGACCCAAAAAAACAGCTAGGAAAGAGCCAATCGCCATCATCCTGCGTAACCAGGTGTCAGAAGACACCTGGTTACGCAGGATGAAAAAAATGCTCCTTGGTCAATAACTGAGCAGAGAAGAAGTCAGAAGCCATAGCCCTGATCAACTCACCAGAAAAAGAAATGTTAAGCCAAGTCTATGGCCTGTACGTATGACATGTGACCACGGCCAAGAATAATGGTGCCATCTTAGGAGTGTTTTTAAGAAACTAAAATAAAGTACAGTTTGGGATATTGCCTTTCCTAAAGGGCTCAGACAAAATGCCATGTGATAAATATGATAGAAGTTGTTGAGTGTCATTTATGTCATGATGTCTGTTTACACAAGTTTGCGTGTCCCGTTGGGAGTTGAGGTACAGAACGGTGCTAATTATGGCGATAAATTACAACAAAGTCCTGCATTTTGTTCCATATGCAGCCGAAATACAACAGGTAGCAGATTTTAGAAAAATCTCTTTATATCGTAACGTGTTTTTAGCTACACAAGGGGTTACCGGTATTAATAGAAACAGCCACATCTCCCTCTCCTCTTATGGCTATCACTTATCGTGTGGGCTCTTATCAGATCGAAGCATCACTAGGTGTGTTTGAGATGAACAGCAGCTCACCTGGAATGTGGACAAGAGTATATGGCTGTGCTGATGGGCAGGTTAAAAGCCTGTTGTGAAGCTGGACGGACCTGTCTGCAAGTGAACATGTTTTTTCAACACTTGGGGAAGGTTTGAAAGCATTATAAAAAATGCTGGCCGAAGTTTCAAAATCTGTTTATTAATAAATTCCCTCAAAATGACTTCCTATCTATAAATTAGAGGTGTGTATGATTGTTACAGCTACTCCAAATCACATAACTCTTTTTTTCACATTTGAAGGTAATCTTTGAGCCATCAGACATTTTTCTCATACCAGCTTCTGTTTCATTTTACTAAGACATATTTCTAAATCTTCCAGGCCACACCCATAGAGGCTGTCTGTTAAATATAATTTCACTCGTCTCTGATGCCTCAGTCCTTTTCAGGAGACCTTTTCTTAGTCACTATGTTGCAGTCTGTGCTGCTGCTGCTGCTGCTAGGCAGTGGAGCACAAACTGCTTATTATGGCACTGTCTATACTTACTACGTTGGAGACTATCAGCAAAGTTCCTATTCGGTAAGTTAAATGTCTTTGCAAACTATTTAGGTAATTAAAATTTCTTTTGAAAGTAACATAAAATACATACTGTACTCTTTAATTCTACAGCTAATATATGATTTTAAGCTGGGCTACAGTTCATGTGTGGACTTCAACACTTCACTTTGTTCTGGAAACTGTAGTTGGATTACCCTTCATGCAATCGATGAAAGCAGAGATGAGTGGTGTCAGAAAGTATTTGTTGAAACTTACTACACTTCATATCAGACTGTATACAATGAATTGTAAGTTTTCAACATTAAATGTAAATCTACTTTCCAATGTTTACACTGTGAAGCCTAGTTCATCTCCTAAACTTCTACATGTCAGTTACATTCATTCATTATGTTTGGTTTTGCTGTCTTTTTGTTTTTGTTTTTTTAGGAAGAGATATCTGTTAAAATTAGCTGATGGAAAAAAATTGATTTTGTAGGTCCTCTGGGATTTGGTTTTATGTGCTTTATTATTTCCCTGTAATATTGCAAAACCTATCATCCACTGTAGGTTTCCTACTGCAAACTGGATAGAAAACAGAAATGGTATTAGATCATCTTTAATACCGTTGCTTTTTGACTTAAGAAATCGGTCTGATATCAACAAACCAAACTCCTCACCGCAGACCACCATCATCCCTCTTTTACGGTAAATCTGCTTTTTTTTTCTTTTATGATATTTAAAATAGTTAGAAATAGAATGTGTTTGATAGCAAATTCTTTAAATGATTTCTCATTTTGTTTTATGTTCTTCATCAGCATTTCCAGATAAAACATTATGAATCCTTGACTCCAAAAAGAGCAGGCAGTTAAATTAAGCAAATGATCATAAAAGTGATAAAAACCTGAACAAAATTTTTTTCCAATTTTTTATTGGTTACTATAAATTTTACTTTATTAGCTAATGCTGTCGTTTTAGGTGAACACAATTGTATTTAAAACAACTGAGTTCAGACAGATCAGTGGTAAATATCTAATTAGGTTTGTTCTGTAAAAAGAACCTTTTGACTAACAAAACTTAAATCATGTTGTTGAGCTTTTTCTAATAGGGAAAAAGGAAATAGAAAATGAAAATATGAAAAACCTTTGGAAACCCAGGGGACTAGACAGACAGGTTTATTTTTAAGCTAAGCCATCAAATGACTGCAAATGAAATGAGGAAATGTGACGCTCAGGTTTATGTTTTTCATTTTCAGAGTTCCTTCAAACTGTCAGAGAAACATCAATTTGTTGGTTTTTGACCCCAATGGAGATGAGTTTAGATGCAGATATTCAGCCGGTTCAGAGTGTTTTAACTGCACACCGCTGTCTGTCCTCAGTCTTTCATCAGTAAGTATCCATTTTGGCATTACAGAAACTGCAGTTCTAAAACAAATTATTCTAACTTAACAAAATGTTTGATTTTATTACCTCCCCGTGATTTACACATTATAAGCACAAGACAAATGCATTCAAGTGAATTGGGTAATTTGAACAAAAGAATTGAGGCTGAAGTACAAACATAAATTGCCTAACAGTAATTACAAATAAATCACTTATTTCAAAGATGGCAAAGAAAAAGACACTGATGTTATCAAGACAATTTCACTTTACTCTGACATACAATTAATTAAATATCAAACTTTGTAATAGCTAAAAGAAGAATAAATATTAATAATAAATTATTATTAACAACAACATTAACAGGCTCAGCAACAAATTACAATCTGCTGCTAAATTGTTCTCTATGCACAAACTTAGAATCAGCTTGGGGAGACCTTTAATTTTCGGAAAAGCCCCAGAGGCACTTAAAAAGTTTGTCACTTTGGTTCATTAATCATCATCTGGATGGTGGATGGATTCGGCAGTACTTCCTGTAGCGCCGCCCTTGTGGCCCCGTGGAGCTTTTTCAAAAATGTATGAAAATAGAAAAAGATGGATTTTTTACTTTCTTTACTGTTTTAATTTGGTGTGTACAAGGTCAAACAAACATTCATTATGTCTTACAATGCTGTAAAGATTTGTATAGTAAACAAATTTAAACAATAAATGTAAAAATTTCTGAAGATTTTGATCATAGCCTGCAGCACACATTTCAGTACGGCACATTGCCAGGCAGGTGGCTGTTGTAAACAGATCAGCAGGTGTGTCTTGGGCCATTAATCCCGATGGGAAACAAAGGAAGATAGAAGGTATGGCATGGCATTGCAAAATGGAGTGCTAGCCCTCCTTATTAAGAATCCCTTTTACCCTGTACAAATCTCCCACCTTACCAGCACCAAAGCAACCCCAGACCATCACATTACCTCCACCATGCTTAACAGATGGCGTCAGACATTCTTCCAGCATCTTTTCATTTTTTCTGCATCTCACAAATGTTCTTCTTTGTGATCCAAACACCTCAAACTTGGATTCATCCGTCCACAACACTTTTTTCCAGTCTTTCTCTGTCCAATGTCTGTGTTCTTCTTAATCTTTTTCTTTTGTTGGCCAGTCTCAGATATGGCTTTTTCTTTGCCACTCTGCCCTGAAGCCCAGAATCCTGCAGCCGCCTCTTCACTGTAGATGTTGACACTGGGGTTTTGTGGGTACTATTTAATGAAGATGCCAGTTGGGGACCTGTGAGGCGTCTGTTTCTTAAACTAGAGACTCTAATGTACTTATCTTCTTGCTCAGTTGTGCAACGCGGCCTCCCACTTCTTTTTCTACTCTGGTTAGAGCCTGGTTGTGCTGTCCTCTGAAGGGAGTAGTACACACCGTTGTAGGAAATCTTCAATTTCTTAGCAATTTCTCTCATGGAATAGCCTTAATTTTTAAGAATAAGAATAGACTGTTGCGTTTCAGATTCTGGCCATTTTAAGCGTTTAATTGACCCCACAAATGTGATGCTCCAGAAACTCAATCTGCTCAAATGAAGGTCAGATTTGTAGCTTCTGTAACGAGCTAAACTGTTTTCAGATGTGTGAACATGATTGCACAAGGGTTTTCTAATCCTCAATTAGCCTTCTGAGCCAATTAGCAAACACATTGTACCATTAGAACACTGGAGTGATAGTTGCTGGAAATGGGCCTCTATACACCTATGTGGATATTGCACCAAAAACCAGACATTTGCAGCTAGAATAGTCATTTACCACATTAGCAATGTATAGAGTGTATTCTTTAAAGTTAAGACTAGTTTAAAGTTATCTTCATTGAAAAGTACAGTGCTTTTCCTTAAAAAATAAGAACATTTCAAGGTGACCCAAACTTTTGAACGGTAGTGTGTATATATATATATATATATATATACACTACCGTTCAAAAGTTTATACCGGTAGTTGAAAAGTTTATATATATATATTTGTGTATGTCAGTCTCTAAGAGAGCCATTGGTAAGAAAGAATATTGTGTCATCAATGTATTATTTTTTTGCATACTTCTAACAATCCATCAACTGATCACAGAAGAACACTATCATGCTTTACTTTATCAACAATAAAATAAGAACAATAAGTAACATATGCAATGCTAGTCTTAATTTTGATCCTTTTTTTCTCCTGTTTGTCCTCTTGCAGGCTTGTATTCTGTCATTCAGCCCAACTAATAGCAGTGCTGAAGGTCCATATGCAGTGCAGCTCATTATTGAGGACTTTCCCAGACAGACCATCACTCTGACTAATAGCAGTGGTTCAGAGGAGGTGAAAAATACCAGCAATGCCATCAGCAAGGTCCCAGTCCAGTTTGTTTTCAGAGGTACATTATAACATCACAGTTTGATAAACCTGTTTTGAAGTCAACTATGGCTGCGCTGATTTAGAAAAGGCTGCTTCTTTCTTCTTATATTTCAGATGTGCTTTTTAACATGTAAAATGTCTTATCAACTACTACAAGTTAATATAGAGAATCTGACTTTTGGCTTAAACTACATTCAGAAATGCAACAAAACAACTAACATTGGAATAAATAAATATGTATTTACATTTAATAATCCTCTAACTCCCTTAAGTTTTCCAATTAGCCACCACCATGACCTGCTCCTGTCAAATTGGCTAACTTTGTTTCATTTTATCATTGGATTCAGTGGATCCTGCAGTACCATCCTGCACTGAAGGTCTGTATCTGCCTACGTTCCTGCCTCCAACACCTGAAAATGGAGCTCAGATCTACACCAATGTCTCTCAGACTGTAGAAATCAACATCCAGGTCTCAGCAACAGCGGCTATGTAAGTGATTGTTTTTGTGTTTTTGTCAACACCTCAGGAAATTAGTCTAATATTCAATTTAGCTTGATGTACTAATGAATTCCTAAACAGGTTAGTAAAACGTATTCTGTTAAATGTTAAAGAAACATATTTCCAGTGGACATTTTTACTGAACCTAAAAATAAACAACTGTGAAAAACCCCAAATAAAGTAACCACAGTTGTCAGAACACAGGGATTATAATTTCAATGAAACAAAGCAGCCAATACCATTAATTAGTGTAATGTGTGAAAGTTGGAACGTTTGATTTATTTGTCTAACAATCTGTGCCTCTCATATTCATCAAAGGATCACCGAGCTCCTGTTTAGTGGTCCAACTGGTGTATCCAAAAGTTCATTAGGATCAAGAAATTTTACCCTAACGTGGACACCATCTGAGAGGGATGGAGGACGCAGCCACACTTTCTGCTTTGTTGCTCAAGCAAAGTTAGTTTTTATCTCATTTAATTTATTGATTAAAAATTGTCTTAAATATCAAATACAGTTCAGTTTAGTACCTTGATTTAAGGTTAATTGACAGGAAATGTTCTTGATGAAACAAAAATGCACATGTTTTTAAAGTAATAGCAGTAAGTTCAATTCAATTCAGTTTATTTATATAGAATCCTTTCACAACAAATGTTATTTGAAGGTACTTTACAGAGATAATTCAATCAGATCAAATCTGCGGATTGGTTAAAAGCTTCTACAGAATATAAGAAAGTCCGGCTGATTCTATCCAGTCATTGACTTTACAGTTTGCTGCTCCTGGATGAGCAGCAAACAGTATTATTAACTCTACAGCAATCCCTCACACTAAGCATGCATGCAGTGACAGTGAAGAGGAAAAACTCCCTTTAAACAAGAAGAAACCTGCAATACCAGGGTCATTGTGAATGGCTACTACTGAGGCTGACTGGGCTTTCAAAGAGACCGAAGCTGACATACAAAACGAGCATAGATGCTTATCCATAAATATTTATTATATTAGAAAAGATAATTGTAAACTATCTCCATAGAAGGCTCCAAGTAAAGAAACAGTTAAGTAGACAAGCTTCAAGTGAGTTTTCATTTCAAAGAGATGAAATAGAACATATACAAGTAGAGTAAAAGCTGAGCCCGTAGCTATGTCCCTGCCAGCAATAAAGCAAAATGTGAGGGAAGTTTATAGAATACATTATTTTGTTGCATTCACTCTGTGTGATATATGCAAATATAATTCCATTCATACCTTTTGGGGTTTTTTTAACTGAGAGCTTCATCCTGCACAACATTTTTGTAGTTCTTTTCTGGCAGTCTGTAGACCTAATTTGAACAGCATCATTCATCATGACATCCATGAAGCATTATGGTTAAAGTTCTTGCTGTGGACCATTGTAAAAGGTAAAGGAATGGGATCTAAGAGCATAAACTAGGAGCTATAATTTTAAGGTATTCTGATTAAGCCACAGAGGAAGGGCAGTAAAAAGTTAAACTAAAGAGTGGCAAAATTTATAATTAAGTAGCGCTAAAGATGGAGCTGGTCTAATAGAAATACAGTTTTGCTATTTTCACATAATAAACTATGCCTGAAGACAAAAGATGATTACAAAGGACCCATAAACTTTTTAAATTCCTTGCATGTAAGTATGCAGTGCTGGGCAAGTTACCTAAAAAAAAGAAACGGTTCCAAAAAAAAAAAAAATTAAAGAACGATGCCTCCAAGGACCCTTTTTAAGCAACCAAAAAGGTGCCGCAAAACCAACAAAAAAAAGGAAAGGAACGGCAAAAACTGCCGAACCAAGAAGAAAGGGGCCCAAGAGGGAAACAAACAAAGCAAGCAACCCGGTTTCCAAAAAAACTTTTAACAACCGAACGGAAGAACCGGGTGAAATGGCCCCGGTAAAGTGCCTTGAGATATATGTGCAATTAATTGGCACTGTAACTGTTAAACCCAATTGAGTACAACTAAATTTCAGTTTTCTGTTATTTTTAAACTGAAACAATTAGTGATTATATTACGGTAGCAGTTTCTTATAAGAGCTGTTTTTAATTACCTCCTCAGTTCCTCCAACTCTGTTTACCAGTCAGACCTTCGATGCATTATTGTAACGACCGGGGAGAGTGAGTGGAAATGTTTTTTGTTTTTTTTAAGTTTCATCTGCTTATTCCTTAGCTGAATTTATTCCTGCTAATCTACTGCTCCCTCCAAAGGCCCATCTAGACCCACCTTCAATGTAACAACTCAACTACCCCCCACTATGATACCTCCTACAGCTACATCTCTGCTCACACCTACTACGGCAGTCCCGAGTGACACACCGACCCCAGAACCATGTAAGTGACAGAAGTTGATGTTCTGCAGGATTCCTCTGTTACAGTCCTTGAGGTCTGGTGTTCTGCACCTTGTAGATCTGTCTCTGCTTTCACACACCTAAATCAAATGCACGAGTTACCTTCTCGGTATGCAGTCAAGTGTTATATAGTCCTGCTAATGACTTGATTGGTTTACTTAGGTGTATTAAAGCAGAAACTCATGCAAAGGATGCAGGAAACTAGATGTCAAGGACCTGAAATGGCTGTTTAAGAAAGAGACTTTTTTGGTATCATTTATTTATTTTTGGTAAAATTTATTAAAACACAACATGGGAGGCAGGTAGCCAATTAGCTTGAAGAATTGTACTTAAAGTCCCCCCCTTTTGCAAACACTTTCTGCAGGAGGATTTCCAAATGGATACTAATAGAATTCAGAATTAATTACACATATCAGTCTAGCTTATGCCAGTTTACTATATAGATAAACTGAATTGAATTACAATTTTTCTACACATTTACTAAGACTAAAGGAACCGTGTTTTGCCACCTTTAGAAAGTATAAGCAAGCGTCTGCCGAGCTGAATCTTTAACTTACTCACTGCTTGAATTATCCTGTGTTTGGTTAGTTTTGTGGGTGGAGTCAGGGTGAAGCTACCACATGGCTACTTTACTCATTGCTAGAGCAAAAAAAAAAAAATGAGGAGTTGAACTGAAATTATAAAGAACAGCTATAGTTTTTTATTGTTATGCTGTGTTCTTTTCATTCATATCACAACAGCAGTGGTGATTAGGCTACGTAAGGAGGTGACAGACATGAAAAATAATAAGCCTAATTACAGGCTGATTATGCCATGTTTAGTTTGCATAAGCACAGTCAAGGGACCCTCATGGTGTGATTTTAGCTCTTACAACTTGTTCTGTCTCATCCCGTCCACAGGATGTTTTTGTAAAAATTTTCTTGAGGGATCTGACCCACATGCAGTAAACCACTCAGAGAACCAGGGTCAAAGTTTTAACAGGTTTATTGATAAGATCAGCGGGGGAAGGATTCAGGAAACTCAGTGTACTGGTGAACCGGAAGATAGTGAAGAAAACTTTCCACCAAGAATCCAGTGTCGGTTTATCCAGAGAAGAGAGTTGTTAGATGGCGCACAGGTTTAGACTTGGTGGGACTCTAAGCAACTTTTGAGCGGACTGTCACTTGGAAATCCAGGAGGACTTGAACGGAACTTGTGGAGGTTAATCCCCTGCTCAGTGTGAGACTCACACAATCCTTCCAGGGGAAGAAGGCCAAACATCAAGCTTACAGGATGACTTCCTGCTGAAAAGGCAAAGACAAAAAAACTAGGTTAGGCTCAGTGAAAACAAAGACTTACTTAGACTTAGCAAAACTCAGCTTGGCTAGAGTACCCAAAACTGGCAAACACTCTGGCGTCGAGGTAGTGACAGTCCATGGCTCAAATAGTCCTCAGTGATGAGTCAACCTGCCGCAGGTGTGTGAAAGGACCAACGAGAACAGGGAACCACCTGGTGGTGGAGGGAGAGAAATACACAAAAACACAACCCACACAAACTGAATTCCTAACAGTTTCCAGGTGTTTCAAAATATCTTTTGGTGGTTTTGGTGTGGCCAGTTAAGTGGTGAAATAGTAATGTTGACTCTCTGTGCTTCCAGATTATATCCTGGCTCTGAATGCAAAGATTTTGACTACACTATCACTGGAGCATGATTCTGCAACTATCATAGAACTGGTCAGTAATCTATTTGACTGATTTTAATGATAATTCTCTTTATTTTTTCTTTCACAGATTCGACTGTTTATGTAATAAACTAATTAGGTTTTTTATGTTTCATGCTTTGGTTTGCTATCTTTGTAGTTTGTAGAGTTTTAACATGTAAATGCAGTTAAGTTTTATTCTGTGTGACTTTCTCTTTTTATGAAGTGGGGCTGATTATATGTGTTTCCTGCTCTAGATCAAAGGAGAGCTGCAAAGACAGGGCCTCCCGATAGACATAGAGGTTCAAATAAAGGATGCAGGAGATATTACACCTGGTGCCTAGTTGATAAATATGATCTTTGCCTGGAAATCTGTTTTAAACCTTGGGATTTTTATATATGTTTTCCTAATGATAGTAAAAATGTAAATAACTTTCATCTGATTATCATAAATGCAAACTGCATAACATTATTTGTACCAGTGTCCTTTTGCCTGATAATAGATGAGTAGAACCTACTGACCTAACCTGATATCTTTCATGTTATTAACGTCTCCTTATGAATTATAAACACAATTCAAGGTGGTTAAATAAATATTTTCTGCCTTACCTAAAACTGAATCAAAGACTCATTGTTTTTGTTCATACTTGGGAGGGTTTTGTTGTCACAGGGTGCAGGTTTTAGCTTTTGATTAGGAGCAGACAAAATTTCGACTGTAGATATAAGACACAAAAACATTAATATGAAGAGCAAAAGAAACAGAAGGCAAGGTCTTCAGTTTAACAGAATATGTGATATAATCTAACTCTCACCTATACACATAAAAATAAACCTGAAAACAAAAAACAGAAAATGACTTCTTTATGGCTCTTCCTTAGAGATATGGAACACTCATAAGGAGTCCTTTCAACAGTTTAGGGATAAAGATGCTGCTCCTTTGAGACAGTTCAGATTCAGATTTGTTTAGTGTGTCTCTTGGGTGCATTCTAGGAGATACTTTCTCAATAGAGAACCAATGATAGGGCATAACTTTTTGGAGGACAAGTACATCCATTTTGTCTTGGGAACACGACAGGATCTTCCAGAAAGTGTTAGTGGATGTAGTTTACAGAGCTTAAATCAACCTAAGCCTGAACTTTTTTGAGAAGATCAGAGTTGTTTATAAGGATTTCATGAACACTAAATAGGGAAATCTTTCCAAAAATAGAGGCCATTCTTTTGTTGAATTATGGCTAATCATTTATTTATTATTATCATTATTATTAAACATTTTGTGCATTTTTATCTTCACATGTATTTTTACACAGATCTAGTAAAGGCTGGGAGATCATAAACAACAGATATTGTTCTGCAATGAACCAAACATTCCTACTTTTAAAGGGCAGATTGCAGGTTAGAGCCTCAATTTTAAAAGTGTTAAGTTAGTGGAGACAGACATCAGTCTTAGAGACTTTACACTGTAATCTATTTTAAGAACTTGAAAACAAATTACAGTGCAAAATCCCAGGTGCCAAAAAGTGAGAAACAGCAGCTGGGGTAATGTGCACTGCCCCGCCAGAGAGAATAAATCCAGTTTTCCTCCCTTTAGTTAAAGTTTCTCCAGTATTCATATTGATCCAGTTCACAATAACCCATCCACTTGCAAGTTCATACAGGATGTCCTTGTGTTTAATTTAATCAAATCCTGATCAAGTGTTTATAGCAGAGGTCACAGATTAGTGGATCGCGGACCAGATCTGGACCAACCTGCTGCCAATAAGCTGTGTCAGTCTGTGTCTAGAGCTACTTCTAGACACAGCAGGCAAACCTGTGGGAAGCCTGGCGATGGGAAAAAAAGAAGACGATGAGAAAAAGAGCAGAGAAAGTGTGGAATGCTGGAAAAACCGCAGTGAACTGGTGAGAGAAAAGTGAAATGCCGTGCTCAAAGATAACCCTGCACATTTTGAGTATGTTTGGCTCAACCTACTGCGGTGTAGCAGGATTCTCCACCATGAACATTATTAAAAAACAAATATTGATCCAGCCTAACGCCTACTTCTCTCATTAAGCCATGAAAAAGAAAAACAACAGTTCAGGTGTTTTATAAGATATGTGAATCAGGAAATTGTCTATATACCAAACTGAACGGTTGTTGTTCTCAACTTCAGAAAACACTTTCGATTTTAAAATGCTGAATGCATAGCATGGATACATAAACACCCAATTTTATTTCACTGTTAAATTCTGTTTAAAGTAAGAGATTATAATAAAAAATGTCTCTGGACCTTTACTGGTTGATGGTTTTCTTTATTCAGATCCCTCTGATTTTTAATTGGTTAACCCTGGTTTACAGGTTTACAGTAACTTCTTCCACATCTCGAGGAATTAACAAAGAGCCTGCTGTGACATTTCCTCATACCAGGTAAAGACCAGGTCCTTTGTGTGACTGCACAATGCCTAACTTCCAGTTACAATGAAGGTGAATAGACAAAGAGAAAAGGAGTGGATG